ATAATAAATATCTTTTATACCATGTGTCACTTAAAAGTTTTAAATCATGTAAAAATTCATATCATAATTATTAAAATCGACTAGAAATAGAAGTTTTTTGTTTTTTTTACTAAATAAATTAATTCTATTTATTATATTTACATTCTAATTTTAATGTTTTGAGTCCATTGAATGTATTTATTGGATGAAAATGTATATAGTTTTTCATTATTGTCATCATATCAATGATACGTTTGAGACGATCAAGTTTAAGAACATGATTAAGTAATTGAGAAAGATCAGTTGCTGTTATACATAAATTTTTTTCTAAATTATTTTGTACATGATGTTTTTTTACCAAAACATTTTCTTGTGATTTAGAAATTTCCATAAATTTATTTACCTAAATAAGAAATGATTATAAGGCTTCATTGAATTATTTCTTGGTTTAGGACTTCCCATCATAAACACTAGACAATTGACAGAGACTGGATGCATATACTTTCTTCTAATAAGCCTGATACTTTTTCATTATTCTGTAAATATGCAACTATAGAGCTCATTCGACATATCTCATCAGCATCTAAAAAACGGAACAATGGTTTTTATAATATAGCCTTCTTTTCAAACTCTTCAGTAGAACTAAATCAAAAACCTGATTGTACAGGTTTGTAGATATTGATGTGATGCATCTAATGATAAGCTTTATTGTCAATAGGAATTTCTCAAAGTTTGAACCAGAACAAACCTATCTTGATTGAGAGATGAGTTTTAGTATGATAATGTCATATTTTTGAAATACAGTCAAAAATAGTTGTTCCTTTAAAATGTGAATAACTGAACCAGAAAGCATTCACTCTGGCTTAAATATTAAAGAATTTCTAGTAATTATATAGTCTGTCTATCAAGAAAACATTAGCTTGAAATTTCGCTTATTCAAGTTCTCAGTGATCCTTTTCTCGTAGCTCAATCACTATCCAATGGCGATAGTTTCAAACAATAGAAGCAGTTTGATAGTTGGATATGTACTCGCGTGATATTTACTTGAGTTATACCATATTATCTTTTGGCAATTAAAAGATAAATGATATCTGACAAATATGACACACTCATAATCAATAAGTAATAGAGTAAAATTATTCAATATTTTACTGAAAAATAAATATAGCAAATGAGCATATTTATATTTACATTAAGACAGAATGTTGTTTTGGCATAAGATTTAATTTCATTAGGTTTAGCTAATTTACTAACAATTAATAAAACCATAAGATCTTCTAATGCTATCATATCATAACGAATAAGTAATAATTGAAAATCTGCATGAAATAAAATTTGATATTGTTGAAAATATTTCATTAATGGTTTTTCAGCGATTGAACCATTTTCTTTAATTAATA